CCTAATTCATTCCAAAAAAAATTTGGAATGGAGTGAGGTATATACCTTCCCTCTAGCTTCCCCCTCAAAATTCCCATAGATTCTTAAATATTTGTAGAAAAGAGCCATGAACAATGGATTTTGATTCTGAGGTTGATGATGACCATTCTCTTGGAGACAAATGTTCTACTTCACTGAATAATATTTTTCCTTTCTCCGTGGTGAGAATTTGGTTTAGAGCCTAGAACTAGAGATAGGTCCTAGTTCCAGATCTAATCCAGGGACACAATTGGGCTCTGAAGGGCCACGTTGTCATTTGTGTTAGATGCTCTGTATCATATGGTGATAAGGAAAATGGAATGAGGAAGCCAGTCTCTATTGCATCTCTTCTGTGTGTCAGCTCAAGATACAGTCAGCAGCACTACACCTGGTTTTGTGGTTTTACCCTCTGGTCTCACCAAATCGACATCTCAGGTGGGAAGCCTGAGAAAGAGGTACATGAAACTAGGCCTTTAAATGCCTAGTAATCCCACTAGGAAGCAAAATCTATCATTTTCTAGGTTGATTATTTCCACGATTCTCTGCCAGCACCTCTCTCTCTCTCTCTCTCTCTCTCTCCTCACACACACACACACACACACACACACACACACACACAGCTTTCATTTAGAATAAAATTTGTTTGTTCATCTATAAATAAAGTTGCCCTTTGGTTCCCATTCTGCTTTTTTTCTGTACAAAACTTGGGAACTTTGTAAATAAGTGGGTTGGAGATTTCTGACAGGAAGGGATTTGGGGATTTCTGGATGCCTAACCTTAATGCCATTAAAATAAATCCAGACATCTTTCTCTTTATTTTTAATACTGAAATCTGATCATATTTTCAAACCAAACAGATTGTGTCACATAATAGCTGGTAATTGTGCAACCTCTGTGTGGAAGTGTACTGTCCACAGTAGCTTCGCATTCTGAACTTAGCATCTAAAAACCTCTGATATCACAACTTCTCTCAGATTCTTGTTAGTTTGAGGCTGTCGCTGCCAATAATTAGCAATGCCAGGTGGAAAATTATTGGGAAAAAAGTCACCTAATTTTCATTATGTCAAACTTGGAATAACAAAATTAGGGAAGAAATAAATATGAGGAAAAACAGCATGAATAATATATCTTCTATCAGAGAACAGCTGAAGGGAAAGACTCGTCCATCATAAGATCAGGACTCTGGAAATGGGCCACGTGGATCAAATAAGAATAATAGGAGGACCAAGGTGGGGGGAGGCCACAGTTTTTGCCCTCGGAATCTAAAACTGCCACCCGCATTCATGTCTGTACTAGTACTGTCCCTTTAGAATGAGAGGTTTTTATGTTTACTGTCCATCCATAAGAGCAGACTCATCTTAATAAAACACCATGACTGTCACTTTTACTACCCAGTCTTGTGGCATGTCAGAGATCATTCTGAGTAAATTCTACTCGGCCTAAATAAAATGGACTTTATTCCAAAGCTAAGAAATTATTTCAGATTATTACAACTCTTTGGACATTGATCCTTGAAGAGTATATCTGTGTCATCTTAATAACTTCCCTAACTTTAATATTTGCAATTAATAAAGGAGATTTTTTTAAAAGGCAAGTTAATGAAGTGATTTTCAAAAATGCAAGATATCCTGAAATTAGTAGTGAACATACCTACCATCATTTATCTTCTTAATATATATCAAACTCCATTTTATCTGAAATAAAATTTTGTGTAATTGAATATTGCTTTAAAAAAAATGGCCCAGGAAGGACTTGAAGATTTTTGCCCTGATGATGCTTACTGATTTAAGATTTGGTTCATACTGTTTCTATTAGTAGTATATTTTGAACTGAATAAAATCATCTTCATGATAAGCCACAACATAGGCTTAAAGTACTTTATTAAATAAAATTTTAATGAACCTATTTTTAATAGATTCTGAAGCTTTTGATAAATTGAAATCTAAATAAATCAAGATACAGACAAGTGAAAACTTTGGTCATATTTGCAATCATAATCTAATATGCTAAAACTAAAATGAGATTTGAGGTAAACACATATTGAAGTCTTTCCTAGAAAAAACAAATAGAAAATCAAAAATACCCAATAGATAACTTGTTACAATTTAGTGTGGACAACACGGCATACGAAATGTCACAGACCTCCGTCTTCTAAATGCAAAGTAATAGAGCTTGACTGGATGGCTCTGTGTTCTGCTCTAGCAAGAAAATTCTACGAGACTACAAACATGCAGAGCAAGTAGCAAGCTTAAAAATTTAGTACTTAATTTCATTGGGAATATGAAATGGCCTCATACCAGCTTCAACATAAAGCATGAGAAAGCAAAAGAAAATATGCCAATATATTATTCATGCCATTTTTCCTCATATTTATTTCTTCCCTTATTTTGTTATTCCAAGTTTGACATAATCAAAATTAGGTGACTTTTCTCCCAATAATTTTCCACCCGGCACTGCTAATTATTGGCAGCAACGGCCACAAACTAACAAGAACCTGATAAGAATAATTGAAAAGCTGCAAGAACTTAATCAAAAAAACTGTTTATAGGCATTATATGAAAGTGTTCACAGACATCTTTAGCTTTTTTTTTTTCAAACCTTCAGATGGGGCCCTTTGTAGGGCCAGACTAGCAATGTGCCTGTAAGATTCCACATGGTACTTACCACGACAGTAGTAATATCTCCACATAATTACCACTTCCTAATACTCACCTACCACCAGGCAGTCTATTTTAGGAATCTTATTTGGGAAAAATAAAGGAAGAACTTAGGAATTTAAGTATTGGCAACTGCAGATCTACAGCCTTGCTACTTGCATATATAGGTTCATTGTCGACCTATGCGGTTGTACCACAGGTGGTTCCATAGAACACCATCAATGATAAAAACAAAAGGATAGACTAGACCATCCTTCGTAATCCTTCTAGGCTTTCATAATTCTTACAAATGTGAGTGTCTGCCTCTCTGTTTCTAGACTTAAGGGAAGACAAAACTATTTCTGAAGAGCCAGCTCATTCGATAAAAACAAACAGGCTGAGAGAGAGGTGGTAGGTGGGAAAGGAAGAGTCTGCCTTTGAACTTTGAGAGTCTTCCAAACCACAACGCTTCTGCACTATTAACAAGTCACTGGTGGATTGAATAAGCTGTGTGGACAGCTCTGTCACCAGGAGCATCCAATAGTGTATGTAAACTGGTGAAGCCTGACAATGCAGTGGCCAATGCAAGTCAGTGGGTTAGGGCCGCAGGACCAAGGGCCTCATCTTTGCCCTGTTTGGTGAGCTTGGGAAGCTGCTACATCTCCCAGAGCCCCTCCTCCTCTATCAGTAAAATACGGGTTGTAATAATAATCCTTCTGACAAAATTCTTAGAGGATTTACTAATAATAGAGATAATAAAATAGTTGTAAAATTTAAGTATCATAGAAATGCTAAACTACATGAGCCAGGCCTGCAAGGGCAGTCAGTCTCTCTTCGGATATTATTATAACATGTTCCTGGTGTACCATCTCTCACAATGCCAGGGCGACCATGGCTCGGGTGAAATATTTCCAGCTGAAGAAGGGTAACAGGAAATGCTTCAACTACCCTGCCAAGGTTTATGAAAAACACTTTCACTCACATTCTTTCATTGGATCTTCACGATAAACCTGTGAAATAGACTGGGAAGATAAAATTATTCCCATTTTATGGAAAAAGGAACTGAGGCCCAGAAGGGTTCATTAACTTGCTCAGGGTTGGATGGCTGGTAGAGGCAGCGCCCGGGCCAAAGTTCAAGTTTCCTCACCCCCTAGCCCTGCACTCTTTCTAATTTACTACACTGCTTCTCAAAATGGGAAGAAATAGCATTTAATTGATGGATTAATTATTACTATTACTTATTTCTGCTCACACGTGCTGAGCACTTGCTGTGATTCCATGCATTACCTCATTTAACATCCCACTGCTTCCTAAGGGAACCTTCACTGCCCACCTCAGTCCAGAATGCGAGCGCCCTCTGCTAAAGTCACGTAGTGTTTTTCCTTACAATACTCATTTCACAATCAAATGCACTTTTACTGGTGTTTCATTGGGGTAAACCCGCCGTAAGTTGAAAACATCCTAAATAGAAAATGCATTTAATACACCTGACCTACCGCACATCACGGCTTAGCCTTGCCTACCACAGAAGAGCTCAGAACACTTATGTTAGCCTCCAGTTGGGCCATTATCTTGAGTTTCTTCTCAGTCATTGCTTTCCTCTTCTTCTCACCAGAAGCAGGAGAGAAAGATGAGCATTTTGTAGACATAATGGGGTGTAGAAACACAAAACATAATAACCAAAAAACACTGACAACACAGTACACTGTAGAGCATCCGTCTTTGACCCTCGTGATCACGTGCCTGACTGGAGCTGCGGCTCGCTGCCACCGCCCAGCATCATGACAGAGTATCACGCTACATGTCACTAGCCTGAGAAAAGACCAAAATTCAAAATTTGAAGTACAGTTTCTACTGAATGCGTATCACTTTTGCACTAACATGAAATCAAAAAATCTAAGTCGAACCATTCTAAGTTGGAAACCTCTCTATATAATGGACAGTCCTCTATTTTAGCCAAGTTTTCACGCACCCACTATATTGTGATGTCTTAGATCAGGGTCTCTGCACCTTGCTTGGCACTCAGAATGGTGCAGTGTGCACTAAAGATGCTCAATTAACAACTGTTTCTTGAGTGATTACAGGTATGTGAGCTTAACAAATATGGAGCCACATTTCAGAATAATAAATATTTACATTCCAGAAAATGAGAAGTCACAGCCCTTTAATTATTTGAGTGAACACTACATTAGCTGATTACGTTTTGGCTTATCAGTATGTCAGTCTCTGCTATACCTTAGAAATGCATATTTTCAAGGCATAGAATTTGCTAGTGGAAATCATCTTATCAAAAAATCCACAAGTATTTGTCCCTAATCTCGCAAAGCCTCTTTGATGACTCCTTACCTGATAACAGATTGTCTGTTTTTATTGAGGGAAACTTCAAAGTCATCTCATGCTTGTGCCTATGAATCATCAGATGGTCCTCTGTTGGGAAGCGCTGTCAGACAAACAGGAAAAAAGGAAGAGGGGAGAGGAGCCATTCAGTTTTGTAATATAAATTTGCCATCATAGAGAGAAGATTTGTTTGGCATTACAAATGTGACAGGCAAAACCAAAAAACCAGCTCTGAAAAAGTATAAATGCATGAGGAAGTAAAATGACAAATCATTTTATGTAAGCAAATGTGCTGGGACATTCCTTTGAATTACACCCAAATATATACATCATTGTTTCCATTATAGTTAATGAAGGCCTTAACCATGTTGCAGAAAAATCTGGCTTAATACTAAGACGTAGAAGATCTCTGCCTTCATCATTCTCTGACTCCCCACGCCTTTCCTTGGAATTCCTTTTAAAGGCCTTTTATTCTTAGACATAATAATAAAACACGGACTATAACCAATTGTAATGAGTCATCAGTAAACTAGACGTTTCCTTGGGAACTAGAGGTTTGCATCTAAGGGTAGACTTTAAATTTGTGTTTAGTTCAAGGATAGAACAAAACAAGTAAAAAAAGAAAAAATAACGTTCAAAGTATTTATATAATATATACAAGAGAAATATGCTTTAAAGAATAAAAGAGAGTTTAAATGAATGTTTATTTATGATCACAAGACTAACTAATAATGGCATCAAGAAAAAAGTGAAATTCTCCCATTTCTACCCACGTATGAGAAAACCTTGTCAGAAATAAGAAAGTAGATGTAGTGAGTAGCACTGGCGTTTTGCAAAACTATTTGGAATTTTTCCCTAGTAGTTATTGTTCTGCGTAATAGTGTAAAATTAAGTCTAAGACATAATAAGTATGCCAGACATTATCTATCAGTTAATCAAAAGTAGGAAAAATGCAAGAAGTAGGAAAAGAATTTTGACTCATGTCAGATTTGGGGAAAGAATTACATGTCTTGCTTAATTATTTGACATCTATACATATGAATGAACACCATGACATTTGTATAGTATGTTTCTGTTTATGAAGACCTTGCACACTCATTATCTGATTTTTTATAATTACACACATGATTTATAGTAATATGACAAATTATTTTTGGTATTCTATACTCTGTACAGTGTAGTAAATCAACGCTTTATTTCTAACTTTCAAAGAATGATATTATGGTTGTCAAAACGTTGCTCCCAAATATTTTCAGATGACTTCTGGTCACATGGTGAGATTGTATTTCTTGGCCCTCTTGTGGTTGGGGGTGGGGGTGCATAGGACTAGTTCTGCCCATTGAGTCACAAATGGAAGCGACATGTCACCCAGATGTGAGCGACTAATACTTGATGCAAGACCCTCTAAAGATCTCCCTCCCTTTTCCCTGTAGCATGGCAATTCACAATATCAGAAATAGTGGTCCCTCAATCATCCTAGCCTCTGAAGGATTATGAAGACCATTTCTGAATTCTGAAGGATTACCAAGAACATCCTGCCAACCTACAATAGAAATGTATGCTTGGGTAATTGAAATAAGCCTTTGTTGTTTTAAGCCATTGAAGCTGTGGGGTAATTTGTTATTGTAGTCGATCCTAGCCTGTACTGACCCAGACTGGTATGTTTTAATAACTGACCTTAACAGAGTATCTGCTTTATCAAAGTCAAATGAAAATACAGCAAAAGACAATAACTGCTGAACATTTCCGAATCTTTGACAATTTAGAAAATCAGAAAATCCCAGTTCTTCAGGAAGGTAATTAGAAATTTTGATTAACATTGTGTACTATGGTAGAACTCTTATCTGCAAATAGTATGGCGTGTTCATGAAAAGGAGGCAATTCACTGGGTTAAATCTTTTGGAATAGTCCAAAAGTAGTTCTTTGAATAAATATCACTTATTTGTTTGTCATTTGTGTCATGTAAATTAGAGAATATAGAATTTACGAAGCATGGTAATTATGCCAGATTTCTGAATACATAGAAGTCTGATTTATAATGACATGTGGTTTTTTGTTACAGGTGTGTCTGTTCTCTATATCACCTTATAATGACTTAATCAAATATGTGACACTACTATGTGTGGTTTAGAGACATAGGTTAAATTTCTTTCTGTCAATAGCCTTATTATAATTTTTTCTATGATATATATAATCAACAAACAACATAGTAACATCCTTCATTTCGTACTTGTAAGCCATTTTTTGGCTCTATACAATAATAGCCTAAAATAGAATATAAACCAGAATACTTATTACATGATAATTTCTATAACATCTCATATTAATTATAATTCTTTCCCAAAAGAGACAATATAGGACATCTGTGATTTCTTTTTTAATTTGGTAGGGAAATAGCAGCAAATTATAAATAACCAAAATGTACAGTCTGTAACAAAGACAGAGCTGAGAGAGGCTATGGAATTCAAAACATGGTTATCTCAGAGGGCAAAGGAACAGTGAAACTGACATTGGACTGTGTGATATCAGAAAGAGGAAGAGAAGCTTGTTTCTCTTTGCTTCTGGGACAAAGCTAATGTATAAGGAGCTGTAACACAAAATACCTCCCAGGTACTACAGCCCATTCCTAACAGAGAAAAGTTCCTTTCCAGGGAGGGAAAAGGGAAGGAAAATCCTTCCATCATCCCCAGTGCAGCAAAAGGACTGATCATTCATACTTCTTCCCCTTTCCATTCCCGGCCATCCTTTCTTTTCCATGTGGGTCCTCAGGCTATAGACCGTTGCTAAAGCAAACGCCATGACCACAGCTGACGCCACTGCGATTTCCTAACCCCTCACCAGGAGACCCTTGGAATCAATGGGCAACTACCACATTTTCTCAAGTCTAATACCTCTTCAACTGAAAGAGGCACATGTTTTTATAACAGCTTGTCAAGAAAAAGAAATACTTCCACATTAAAAAGAGACATCAAGTTTTAGATGCATCCTTACATTTAGATGTGGCAGGGCGTTGAGGGGGCAGTCTTGGAATTTCACCTTAAAACCAAGAAACTATGTAAATCCTCAATTCCCACGTTTGTCCAAACTTTTCCTCAGTCCATTCAGCCTTCTTAAGGAAATCACCTGCTCTTTCACTGAGAAGTTCAAGGTCATTTGAAATGCACCCCCTTCATCCTTTATTGCTACCTCCACCTCAGAATTTAATGCAACTTCCCAGATTCCGTTTTCACTCTCTCCTGTCTCGTAGGCACCCACCTCGCCTCTGTGGAATCCTCTACACCCTATCTCTTCCTAGGATCGGGGCTTCGGTTGTGGACTTTTCAAGCTAACATGCTCACTCCTCCTTGCCCTTGACTAAATCCAGCCTGGCTAGCCTTTAATTTAAAAAAGAACCTCTCTCAAGCTGCTTCCTCCTCAGGCTACCATTATATCACTCTGCTTCCCGTCACTCCCTAGTGCTCTTGAAAGAGTCCTCTATGCTGACCACCTCCACTTCCTCACCACCCACTCACTCGTTAATCCCTTCCAATCTGGCCCCCACCCTGACTCCTCTCTCATAGGTCGCCGGCAAGCACCCACTGCCAAATCCAACAGCCTCTGCTCAGGCCTCTCACTGTCCCAGCTCTAGCAGCGTCTGACACCAGTGACCACACGTCTGTGACATTTATTTATTTATACACTGCCTGATTCCAAAAAGGAAAAACGATGGCTTGTAGCAATACATAAAATAGAGGGAGAGTATCAGTGAAAAGTAGGTGACCCCCAAAAGGGAAGGGATCCAAAAAGAAAGAAGGCTAAAACCAAAATGCAAACCGTCATGCCATCCTCAACCTGGAGCAATGTGAGACATTTAGCAAAGCCTGGAGACATTTTTGGTTTTCACAACTGGGGAATGCTACTGGGAGTAGGCAGAGGTAATGCACAGCCCTTCCCCCTACACCCAACAAAGAATTATTCGGCCCCGAATGTTAATAGTGCCAAGCTTGGGAAATTCCGCCACACAGTCTGATAAGGTATGTGCAGTTCTCTTCTCTCTAACTTATCTAAATATTAGATGTAGCTAACAACCCCTTCCTCAAAAGGCTATCCTCTACTCTCATTCACAACCCTGGACTCTGCTGGAGTCCTAACTCACTCAGAACCCTCTCCGGTCTATCCTAGGTCTCTTGAAGATCCCATTTCCTTAAATGCCCCATCCACAGAGCAACCCCCATTACCTTCCCCAAGTAAAGTAAATCCCCCTATGATACTCTTCAGAGTAGCCTGTGCTCTTCCTTCATGGACAATTGTAACTCGCTAATTAATTGATTAATTGGTCATGTGGTTACAGATTTGATGCTAGACTCGAAGCTCTGTGAAGACGGGGATTCATGCATCTTATGCACATAGTAGGCTCCCCAAAAATGTGTGGAATGACTTGTGCTGGTCTGACAGAATTTTTCCCAGTTACTTATCAACCTATCTGTGTTTTTCCAGTGTTATCTATTTCTAAATAACCTCCAAAATCAGTTTGCTGAAAAACAGTTGAAACTCAAAATAATTTCCTCTACTGCTGTTCTAATTTATAGGTTGGTTGCAAATCAACGTTCACACCAAAGCTCCAGGAGAACCTGCTAAAACTCAACCAAAGGATTCTGGTTTTTCAGTAAGTGGCCAATATCGCCAGTAACACCACAAGGTAGTACCAGCAATAGCATCTATGTGTCCATGGCATCTTCCCTCTAGAGGGCTCCCAGAACCCTCCACAAACTCTCTGCAGGGATAAACAAGAAGGGTCTTTAATGGATATCACCTCTCATCTGACTCCCAGACATTTCTCCACCTCATTCTGCCTACCCCGCCACGTATCAGGCAGGAGACTTGGGCTTAGGGATAGAGACCATAACTACCCATATTGGAAAGATATCTGTGGTCTGAGTTCTAAGCTTCTCCTATATCCTACAGAATGAAGATCTCAGCACGAGAGCGACCACGTGTGGTCATTTTCCAGGGACTGGAACATGAAGATACTCAAAGGGTCAAGTACAGAAAAAGTTACTATCGAGTTCCAAAGGTAAAGTATAAAACTGATTTTAGGTAATGGATGTTTCCAATTTTTTCAAAGAGATCGTTTTCAGTATAATAGTAGTAGTAACAGTAGCAGTAATAGAAACAACAACGAACATTAACTGAGCACTTATTATGTGCCCTCTCAACACTAAACTGCATGCAGTATCTTGTCTAATCCTCACAAGGGTTCCACAACAAAGGCTAAAAGAGGCTTAATTCAGCACAGCTGAGCCAACTTCCTCTCTGAAGATTTAGCTAAGTGGAAAAAGTTGTGGGTTCTAGAAGAGTTATAGGGAGTTTATTTTACTCAAATGGGACAACAAAACGAAGTAGAATCCAATCCCTGATGGTGGGCCATTCCACCGGTGATCCAAAGGCCCGGTAATTCAAGCGGCTGTTGTAAAGGCAGGCACCCCTCCCCCTTCCTTCTGAACTAACAAGCCTGAACATCAGGTGGGCAGGATGCATCTGGCTTACTTCCAGGGGAAAGTTCCAGGTGAAAATGGCCAACACTGATGTATTTCAAGGATGGTGAGGAAAGTAGTTCAAACTATTCAAAGTGGAAATAATAACAATAACGAAGATGAAGATGATGGTGAGGGGACTCTGCGAGTATCTTGGTGAGGAACGAGAGCCCATAGCAGGCGTAATGGCCGAGGGAGAGTCGCTTCTCTGTAGGGAGGTAGATGGGTCCCTTGTCAGACAGAGCAGAGGACCCCCACACTCACCTGGGAGCAGCCCGGGGCACTGCAGACAAATGGCCTCTCCTGCTCCAAATTCATCTTGGATTCTTCATAAATCTGAAGGACCAGAGGAGGGGGAGGAAGAAAAACAGAAAGCCATGAATATCTTCTGCTGCCACCCAAGAAACATGAGACAGGCAACCGTTCGCCCCACCAGCAATTCCCAAGTTAAAACGAGAAAAACATGAACATGAACGCAGGTCCTGCCTTGCCGAAGTCCATTAGGCTGGCTCCCTGCAGTCCGGGTTCCTATTCCATTTTCTTGAGCCCATATTTACTGGACTTTAAAAAAAAACTTTCCTTGGGTTGTTGCTTTGGAAAACCATCTGGACTATGTTATTACCAGATAAGACCCCGCCCGCACCAGCAGATTCCAAAGCCAAGTTCCCACCTGTCCTTTGGAACAGCAAGGGAAGGGGCAGTAGCTGGGCAGTCATTCATGTGAGATCCAACCTGAGCAGCAGATCAAATGATTCGCCCATGATCACCCTGCCCACCAAACTTTAGGATGACCAAGGGATGCAAAGTAGCGCTGAAGCCAGCTTAGCAAACGGCCCGGTGGCAGCCATGCTCCTAAACGCCCTTTCATATCAGGCATTCGATGATGCTTCAGCAAAAATTATCCAAGTTATGTAGGAGTAAATGAAAATCAGAAAAGGCAAAAACACATTACATTGAATATTTTGTTAAGTTAGTTTTACAGGCTGATTTGAAATTAATATTAGATTAAAGCTACTGCCCTTCTGATCTAGGTAAGTTATCTGGAATAAGGTACTTTGTTAAATTTTAATGTGGTCTTTTCTTATGTAAGGTTTAGGTTCTAAGGTAAGTTCATTAGGCAAAAATTAGACATAGTCAAACTTGCCTTTGCAAATCCTCCCAAAAGACCGTAAAAGTATAGCATACATGGTTGTGTGGTTACCAATCTATACAGTAACATAATTTTTTTTAATATCATAAAGAGTACTATATAAATTTGTTACACAATTTAAATCGTTTCTAAATCATACTTTTTGCCAATTTCAGAGTTGACGTTATAGAAGCTGTGTGGCTCTGTTATGGAACTGAAGCCTGCTGCTTTGTCTCTGAGCACAGGAAGCAATTTGCTTCTTTAAAAATGTTACTTGTAAGTGATTCCAAAAGAGTCCCAAGTCCCTTCGCTCCTGAGTAAGAGAGCTCTGCTTCAACTCGTGGAATAATCGCCCTTTGTCCCAGGAAGCTTTATTATCTCAAACAAAACAAAACAAAACCTCCAATTTGTATGTCATTATACCCTTCCCCCAAACACTAATATATTTGACATATATTCTTTGGGAAATAGATGCATATTTTCACTTTTATGAGACACAAAGTGAAAAGACTGGCTGTAGATTACACTGATAGTCAGATATTAAAAACAAAACAAATTTAAAATACAAACTCTCCTCATACCACTATTTCTCCTAATTATATAGTTTTGACCAAGCAATGCCCTTTTCAATCTCCATTTGTAATACTTTCTATTGGTCACCTCTCAACACAGTGACTTACCATAATTTTACAGCTTTCCTGTATCAGCCATATTGTTTAAACTCTTCTACTCTATTATATTTAGAAGGAGGAAAAAAAAAAACACAAATAGCTTTAGAAGCTTTCCACTTGCCCTTGTCTGAAAAAAGTCATGAGCAATTAAAATAACTTGTCATATCCCATTATTCATTTGATTTTGCCATCAATTATGGAGAGCATCCCTCCTCTCTTCTGTAAATGCTGATAACTTACTTCTAAGCCTCAAAATAAAAGGTGACTTTAAAGCTAAGAAAATGATTTTGATCCAAGATAGGATAAACAACAGGGTAATTGGGTTAGTCGTTAATTAAATATGCCTTGTTTTTCTAGTAAATTTTTTTAAGTGCTTTCCTGGAACTTTTCTGTCTCTGTGGCCATGATCCGCCTGACCATTGCCAGGTCACTTAATGCTTCAGGCCTCAATTTCCCCTACTTTACAATCGGGGTTTGAATATACTTCATTCCCGTGTCACACTGATCGGTTAGGAGGCCTGGAAGACATTTCCACATTATGGAGAAAGATCTGTGTGTTTAAATGTGCGTGTTTGGAAGTGGGAGAGGGTTTTATGGAAAGCGTTCCTGGAACTTCGCTCTAATACTAACTATTCTCTATAAAAAAGAATTTGCTATAAGATGAGTCTGTCTTGGACACCACATAAGAACTTTAGTTGCCAAAGTAACAAAAGAATACCAATATTAGTAATATTACTAAACAATATTAAGATTACATGACAGTAAAATGGGAAAGTTCCATATGAATGCATTTATAGCCTACATCTGAAAGTAGTAATTGGCGATAACAATTAGATTAGTGGCCAACTAATAGAAATGGTCAAGATTGGAAGGACGACTGTTGAAGGTTAAAGGAGATTCATTTATAAGCCAAAATGAGGAAAGAGATTGACTGAGCCGGGCCAGTATGAAGAAAAAGTATTTTCCTACCATAATCACAACTCTGACCCAAACCCAGTCCATCAAAATGCTGACTTTTCCCATAAATCGAGGCTCATAATGGTAACAGTTTAGCAATTCTGCTTGATATCAACATTAGCTACCTTATATTAATTATTAGTTATAATTTGCATGTGAGCTGCAACAAATATCATGGAATTATACTTTGATGCTGGTACTTAGAGACAGAACAAGCTCCATCTGTATTTACCCTATCTCAGTGATCCTTCACAGTATGGATGTTACATTGAGAGGAATACAATTGATCAGAGAAACACAGAGTCTGCCCTCAAATAGTTTAGAGTTTAGTCATCAATATGTTCACCTGTCATTTTACTATTTTATTTTTTAAACATAAATGAATCTGTATCAATTTATTACATACTATGGATCCTGTGAGCTAAATGTTTTGGCAACATGATATTGAAATAAAGGTCCTTCAGTAAAATGGCAGCTGCTAAAATAAGTTTTAGGTGATTAATAAAACTTATTAATCACTTAACTGAGGTGAGTGGGTGTGGAGATATAGGTGTGTGAACCTCAGCTGCTTTAATCTGAGGCTTTACAGTTCCCACATTTAGTCCTCTGCCAACAGCACACCCTTGCTCATTCCTTTCCGTGTGGGCGTTTGTGATAGTTTCACTAAATGTTACTACGCTACCATGCAGGGTTCATTACTTTTATCAACTAGTATGATCTGGTCTGATGTATTAGTCAAGAGCCATAGTCCATACTTTTATGGTCTATTATTACGGTTCTTTCCTAGCACATATTGTAATAATTATTCTCTCAGACTCATACTAAAGCCCTGCGTATATTCTTTTATCACCTATCAAATGAGGGCAAATTACTCAGACGTGATTTTGGCCAGGTTGTTCTGCATTTGGTCCTCAGAAGTCAGGCCCCATCCTCTCATTTCCCATTCAGTTGTTTTACTAGCTGAGATGTTTTAATGAACCAAGTGTGTTTGGCAATCACCATACCCCAGGCTCCGCTGCATAGAGCTGACACAGTAGGTGTTCAATAAACATTTGTGGAATGGATAATGAATCCTGAATCATCACAATAAGGCACCCCAAACGGCTTGCCTTTTCTCTACTCCCAAGGGAGAGGTTCTCAAATTTTTGGCCCAGACCAAGTTTTCAGCAAAGCACGAGATTGTGCAGGCCACTCATTCCACCTGTTCCCAGTTATGTCCAGAAAAGAAGTGTCACCAGATTTAATAGGAAAAAAAAAAAATCCAAGTTATTTTTCATGAAAACAATGAGGTGAAACCAGTTTTAATTAAATATCATATGTAAATATAATAATTCATTATAAATTCAACTTCGTAATATGCCATAGACCTCAAAACCACTAAAGTCCAGTCTGTCAGCAATGTGTGGGCTACTCTGACCCCCCGGAGTGCCCTCTGAGAAACACTGAGTGACCTCGTAACTCTGATTAGATGCAGTCATAACTGTGGCAGACTATCTAATCATTTAAAAGTTTCTAAATAGTACTATTTTTCGTTCCTCTTTTCCAAAGTTCAGACTCAATGCTCATTTAAATGCCTCATGAGTCTAATTTCCCTTCAAATTTTTGGAAAACAACACAAAACCCTAATAACAAACCCTAACAGTGTATAAAGTGAGCAGAGGTTTTTCGTAGTTGACAAGGAGATGACAGGCTTGATTTATAATTCAAACCCTCAACTGCCACTGGATTCCTCTGGCCTCGCAATGAGCAAGAATCTCTTTCATTGTTCAGTGTTTGACCCCTCAAATTCCTCCTGGTGTAAAATGGGAAATCTTCCACAATGGCTGACGCAATCCATTCAAAGTCTTTGCCAGCTACTTAGGGATATCCTTGGAACTACCATTTCATGAAGGGCAAACACTGCAAAAAACAAATGTTACTAAAAACTTGGATACTCTGCACAAAATACTGTAAATATGTATTTTAAACTGAAAGGCAACAACGAACCCAAAGGGAAAAAACCTATATCATCTGGTTTGCTGTAATCAGTCAAGAGTGGTGCTTCCCCATCTAACTAGGAAGGCATTACTGATCCTTAGTAAACATTAAACTCTAATCTTAGTGGAATGGCACAAATTTCCCCCAGTAACAGTTGATAGAGACATACAATAGCATGGGATTTGGAATAGCAAAACTCTAAAAACGTTTGAATCTGAAAATGTGGCATGTACTGTTATTGACACCAAAAGTTATGGGACTTCAAAGATGCAAACTGAAACTAAATATAAATAAGCACTAATCATAATATCGATACACCCCAATCGGCTCTGGTATTATTAATCTGGATATGAATGCATTATAGATCTGAAAGAGGGGGTGTGAATGTTAATAGTGATGTTAACAACATCTGTCGGCATTTATCACCCTACTATGATTGTGGAGAGTCTTCTTGGCAGGACTCACATGAAACAGCCCTGCTACCTTGTCGAGCTTACTAGGCTGCTAAAAGGGCTCTAGAGGAGGAAACTGGTCCTTCCCAAAAAGCCAGGAACAGCTGACAAACAGGAGCATCTTGAGTTAATCACACTGCGTGATAATCC